AAACAGTTGGTATACAGCACAATAAAATATTGATATGGCCGTCATTCAGCCCTTCTGTCACTCTATTACTTATCAATGTATATCAATATCTCACATATGTTTCTGTGCCTAGAGTTGCATGCAATCATTACCAAACAACAAAATACCCATCAAAACTATATCAATTTGTACATAGACAACATACAGTGCAATAATTTACTAAAAGATCTCAAAATATTAATTTAATAGTCTGGCAAATTGCTTGAATTAATTTAATAACTAATTAATAATTTAACAATTATTTGGTTAAACGCGCAAAAAGAGAACTTCACATGCAAAAACATTCAGTATGCGATCATTCACAAGTTTTGTGTCTAGTCAAAAACAAATAAATAATTGTCACTATGTTACACTGATCAATTTTAATGAAACGTATACTTTTTTACCCCAACTAAATCTTAAATTGTCAGGAACTGTGATAAAGCATTCATAACACTACAAAACCAAAACGAAAATAAAAATAAAAAATATATATAAATTACAAAATCACAAGGCTTCTCAACTTTTTATATATTATGGAAACAAATACAAGACTTTCTCCAAAAGGTTTCACTGTGGCCAAGCAAAAGTGAACACATGAACTAACTTAGTATATGTTGAGTTCTGAAGAAGTGAACCAAAAATTAGGAGCAAGAATTAATCTTGTGCAATAATATGTTTATGGACGGATGGTCGAGCAAAGTCATAACTTGTGAATGATACAAATTCTTTACATAAAATTAATGTGACCCATTAGCTGCTGACACTGATGAAAATGCCCGGCCCAGACACTTCTCTGTATTTCATATGATTGATGAAAAAGAATGATTCACTGTGGAATTTATTGTCATTACTCACACATGTTTTATGTGAGTGACTGAGTGAGAGAGTGGGTATATATGTTTTTAGTATTTTTTTTGTGCCTGCAGGATCGAGCTGTTAGCTAGGGGACCCCGCCTTTCTAATCATCAGTTGCCTATTCTGACTCCAGACTTAGTTTTTCTTTATCATGTCTACTACACACATTTCTCTGTATGTAATACAGAGAACTTATTATTTTCTGTATACATACAATAATATGTATGTATATACATATAAACATATATGTATATGTAAAATAAATATATATATATATATATATATATATATATATATATATATATATATATATATATATATATATATATATATATATATATATATATATATGACAATGTCAGACCACGGAGGAAAATGAAACAGGAATTTCCTTAAAGTACTTTCGTATATTAATACATCTTCAGAAGGAGTATTAATTAAAATAAACTACTCCTTCTGAAGATGTATTAATATACGAAAGTACTTAAGGAAATTCCTGTTTCATTTTTCCTCCGTGGTCTGACATTGTCACATTTTTAAATCACGTGTTTATTTTCGTGATATACACACATATATATATATATATATATATATATATATGTGTGTGTGTATGTGTGTGTGTGTGTGTGTGTGTGTGTGTGTGTGTGTGTGTGTGTGTGTGTGTGTGTGTGTGTGTGTGTGTGTGTCTGTGTGTGTATGTATGTATGACATAGGCGGTAAGAATGCGGCAGCCATAGATCACTAAGAAATATAAATGACCCACACAGGATTTAAACCCACTCCGCTCAGGATCACCCCTTCTATATATATACACACAAGTCCCGATTTGTCTAAAAGCAGTGATTTCCGATATTTTCAAATATTTGTTTTCAATTTGTTTATTTTAATTAATATTAGTATATAATATTAAGAAAATACATTACTGTCTAAGTTATATTAAGCCAGGTTAGGTTAGAATTTATAAAAATTTTATGTTAGTTTTAACTCAAATAAAAAAATCAAATTAAACTTAATTGAAAGCTTTATCATTCCAGAAGAAAATTTTTGAAAAATATATAATTTTGGGAAAGCTTAGCTTATTAGGTAATTTGACCTTTTAGGTACAACATATTAGTTAAATGCTTTAAGAAATATAGCCTGTAACCCAAACTTTCTGTGCAAATTTCATTGAGTCAGAAATGATATCTGGGATGTGTTATCTGCAGTTTTTTAATTACCCCGCCGTCTACCGGCGCATTTTCATGATTGACTTTGTACACGAAAATGTGCATCAGTTCATGGTTTTATGTTAGAGAAACATAAATTTTTATGTTATAGAGAAATATGTGTTTAGACATAATAAGGAAAAATAAATTGGTTAGAAAGGCGGAGTCCAAGAGCTAATTGCTTGATTCTGCATATGCGAAATAGTAAATACTCGTCATCACTGGACTCGCACTTTGTTCCAGCAGACCACGTACCAATGATAGCACTAACTAACGAATGGTGTGGGTTGAGAGATGGGGAAATTGGAGATGAAAATGGGGGAAATATGGATAATAGGGGACGAGGGGGAGGAGAAAATGGGGAAAGTTGAAGATGAAAATGGGGAAGAGGAGGAAAGAAGAGTGAAAATGGGAAAGAGTGAAAATGGGGAAAGAGGGGAAAGAAGAAGTGTGGTTGGGGAGGTGGTTTGAAGGGCAGTCAGGCATGATTATCTGTGATGACTTGAGCAACAGGTGACATTGGATTACTACTTACACAACTTTGTTGCTCGAATATCTTACCAGTCTGGGCATATATTTCGGATTTACATTCAAATCTTTTCTGAAAATTTATCCTAATTCATAATGTGAATCTCTTTAGTAAATAATCCGTCCATGCATCAGAGACTTTTTTCTCAATACAGTATTTAATCAGGTATTTTCTTATCTTAAACCTAAAGAATTTGATCCAATTGTAGTTTGCTTTATTTTTCTTAGTATATTGACCTTATTATATCACATGTAACATCACATGTAACATGTAATTGCTGTTGAATCTTGAGTCTCAATCGTTTTTATTGGAATATCCGAAGATGCCGCTGACTGTAGCATATCTCTGATACTACAATATAGTGCAAACAACAGAAGTTCCAGAACGAAGCCTTTGGGCACTCCACTTGCATCGACGTGTCTCTCCGACTTCAACTCCATTTACGCTAGACATCGTTTCCTTCTAAATAATCATGCAGTAACCCAATCCACAAATTCCATGTCCTAATCCAGGTTAGGCTAATTCTCCCAATCCCATACGAATCTACCTATCGAATGAATCATTTATTCACTGCTTAAGTAGTTTTTACCAGTCTACCTGGTAAAACTGTTTTTTTACCAGTTTACCAATTTTTATTATTTATTATAAGCATTGCAAGGGATTCTGTACACGCTCCCATAATAGTTATCATGTGAATTTGAAATCAATAATTTTTTATATAAATAATTCTAAATTCAACGCTGGTATTAATTATTTTAAGATATTTTAAATTTCATTAAGGTTTTCATGAAACAGAAAACTAATGGCATTTTTATTAAATAAGGATATAATAAGCACGGAATTTGTAATCTAATTTAGCTCCATTTATTCCCTTCTCAATTGTGAGCCACAATACTTTCAACACATTACTTGCCTTCGTGATATGCGATGGAAAAAAACGAGTATAAAAAGCTGAAGTTACCTTGTTATAAAAAGTATTACTGTAAGGGCCATGCTATGGACGGTACAGTAAGGGTCATGCTATATATATATATATATATATATATATATATATATATATATATATATATATATATATATATATATATATATATATATATATATATATATATATATATATATATATATATATATATTATATATATATATATATATATTATATATATATATATATATATATATATATATATATATATATATATATATATATATATATATATATATATATATATATAGATAGAGAGAGAGAGAGAGAGAGAGAGAGAGAGAGAGAGAGAGAGAGAGAGAGAGAGAGAGAGAGAGAGAGAGAGAGAGAGAGAGAGAGAGAGAGAGAGAGAGAGAGATAGAGAAATATTGAATAGCATACAATGACTTTATAACTAAATTCTTATAGATTCGGTACAAGGTACAATTGGGTAGATACTAAGTGATAACTATGCTGGAGTGCTACTTTAGACACGTGATCATGATTTATATATAAATAACTTTAACATACCAAAAAGTTCTCTATCTAGAGAATAGTTGCAAAGAATGTAGTAGTTTACACAGAAGAAAATATTAATGAAACCCCATGAATCCTCTGTGATGATACTAAAATAGTAATATGGCATTAAATGCAGCGCGCTAGCCGCTTCCATTTAGTGTTCCTTAAACTGCAAGACAATAACACTTTCATGAATGACTGACAACAGTGTGATAAACGAATTGATAATATATCTTGTACATTAGCAAGGTAATTCTAGCTCGGAAGATATTGAAGGGGAAGTAATGTGACTATAGATTCTATATATTTTACAGTCCCCATGGCGCAGTGGTAAAGCACTCGCCCGGCGCTTCGCGAGTGCTTCGGTCTGGGTTCGTATCCTGGCCGTGAAAGATGACTGGGCGGCACTCCTTAACTGTAGCCCTGTTCACCCAGCAGTGAATGGGTACCTGGTTGTTAAAGTATTTGGCGGGTCGTATTTCGGGGAAAATTAAGATTAAGGACCTGCCCCCGAAACGCTATGCGTGCTAGTGGCTTTACAAAAATGTAAAAACTCTTGTATATATATATATATATATATATATATATATATATATATATATATATATATATATATATATATATATATATATATATATATATATATATATATATATATATATATATATATATATATATATATATATATATATATATATATATATATATATATATATATATATATATATATATATAAAAGATTAACATTAAAATAACAGAAGTGGTTTCGATTTAGCTGCAAATCATCATGTCTGTGATGGCCCAGTGGCGTCAATAACCAGTATGAGTCCCGTAAGTATGAAGTAGATGTAATGGAAAAGAATTAAGAGAGCTTCTTAATGACCTACTTGAGGCTCTTAGGACCTACCAGAAGGGTGCGTATTTCTCTCGAAATGCGCGTTCAGGACCTCCAGTGCTTGCGGGGTGAAGCTCGTACGACGTTTTCTCTTCTTCGTTGGCTCTGTGCCCATAAATTCCGTCAGGGTGTGCTGGCCGTTCTTGTACCTGCCGGAGGAGGAGCTTTTCAGTTACACAGGTGAGAACGGTAAGAAAGTGGGAAACACGAAGGAAAGGAAAAAGAGGTGCGGATCAACTCTCATATATGAACAAGATGAGTACCAGACTAGTGCGAAATCATGTGGATGATAAAATATTTACTTCTTGTTAGTCATTTCTGGACGTTAATTGTGAAAATTAAATTCAGCAATGTTGAATATAATGCAGAAATATTAAGAAGCTGTGGACTGGGCGTGCATGATAGACAATCTAACAGCTACTCATATAATTCACAAATAAATAGTTGATTATATAAATATAAGCAGTATATTTATTCTACAATTGAAAGGCTTGGATTAATTTTGATAATTACGTGTATAGTGAATGTGTATGTGATTTAGATGCATTGTGTGTGTGTGTGTGTGTGTGTGTGTGTGTGTGTGTGTGTGTGTGTGTGTGTGTGTGTGTGTGTGTGTGTGTGTGTGTGTGTGTGTGTGTGCCACAAAGGAGAGTGGGAAGGGCCTTCACTCATTCATCACTTAATATTAAAAATATTTATATATCTACACACACCATAAAAAACAACAATGAACAGTGGTAATCAATACAGAATGAATAGCTAAGCTCTCATATTTAAAACTATTCTCTGAATGAATATATATTATGCATTTGTCAAAAATTTAGCAGGAAAATAACTAATTTAGATATCCAGAAATAATAACAATACTTCATGCTTTGAAATGTTTTCCTAACACATTTTCAGATATAAACCTAGGAGGAATAAGGGGGTGTGGGAGATGGTAGACGGTGAGGCGGAGGTGAACAAGGTGGGAGGCCTCAGCGGTACACTCCCACGGTAACCTCACACCGTGACGTCATCCTCGATCTGCTGCTTCGTCTATGGATTCCCGGTAAGACTGATTTTTCTCTAAAGTGCTCAAAATACGTATTTTTCTTTCCTTTTTTCTTTTAAACGTTTGGACTTCGTGGATGGCATCAAATACGACTGCTGAATTAAAACGCAACAAAAGCAAGTGAAAGAGAAGGTGTACAGCGTGATAATATCATAATTTCTTTGTCTAATAAGCACTTTATGAGGAAAGCTGGGTTCCGGAGGGTATACTTCTCTATCGCAGTAACAGAGCCAGGATGTCTGTGTGTACACTGCACTGTCGAACCAACAAAATGCTTGCGAACGGCGACGATGAAAGCGGACACTGTGACAGTGACGAAGTCAGTCAGCCTGACACACTATATATTATAGCTTGTGTTATTGTTAAGGTTTCACTAGATCCGTGCCGTGCTGACGTAAGATATACTAGCCAGTAGGATAGGTAGATGTGCTAGAAGAGCTGCTGACACGAGGAGTAACACAAGAGTGAAACCCAGCTTCTTAAATATTAGTCAGTGTGCAAGTTATAATTGTGCCACTAGGATTTCTCTGTTTGGTTAACCTCTTACCCTGCATGAGGATCTTACGTGTGCAATAGCTCAATTAAATAATTTCTAAGAGTGTGAAATAAGAAAAGTCTCCATAAAGTCTTACAGTTAATAAACAAATCTGGCGTTGTTAGCACACTTCACACGAGGGTGAGCGAATCAAAGAGTTAGTTGCCACTGGGTACAGCTCTGTGATTGTAAAATCTTATGGAACTCCCTTCTAAGAATAATTTTGTTCCCTCTTGCTCATCTATTTGTAAATACTGCAAAAACGTGTGAGTTTTGTATATTCTTACAAAAATAGTTATTTATAATATATTAGTTACAGCTATGTGAAACTAAAGCAGTAATAGAGGTCAAATTTTGCACTCGCCTCACAGATGAGATATTCACAACAACACAAGACTAAACAGCTCATCACCTACAGCCTCTGCATTATTGCCTCTTTAAGGGTGTTCAAGATTAGGAGAGCATCTACTTGCTTCCCTTCAGCGGATGCAGCCTCTGAAGCAGGGAATCCTCCTCCTGCCACTGTTGAAACAGAATATTATATTCATCAAGGCACAATATCACATAACGGAAACATGAAAAAAACAAGAAAAACGTTGTTTTCGTAAAATGTGTTTCAACGGTTCCCGGGCACCGACGGTGATATGCAGCTCCATGATTTTCTGGGAGCTACAGTGCTATGCAGTTCCACTTATCCCTGAGAAAAGCCATGCTAAGCAGTTCTTCGGGTCCCTGTGAGCAACGTTGCTGTAGTTTCCTGGGAGCAGCAGTGTTATACAGCTCTATGGTTTCCTGAAAATAGGGCACGATACTTTACCCTTGTACCACAGAGTTTCAGAACGTGCTCTTAAGTAAATATTATATCATTCACGTTGCTGAAGCATCTGTAATATTACTTTGCATTAAGACAACAATGTTGCCGCTTCAAGTGCAGGTGGAACTTCAAACTCCACTGACGAGGGGTGTGTATCGTCTTAGTTAAGGCTATTACCAACCTCACTTTTCCGAATTAACTATCGAAATACGAAATAGTGAATAATAGCGTGTGAAATGGCGTCTAAATTCACCCGAACAAGTCAGCAAATATTCTGACTGCCTAGGAAACTTTCCTAGGAAACTAGGAAATTCGCTTAGGAAACGAATATTTTGCGACGACCGACAATTAATGAGCAATGATTCTTACCTGTAGACAAAATATTAGATCTAATTATGAAAACAACGCTGTACGTCCAACGATCGTCCAGATTCGGTTGTGTTTTTTACCTAGCAATAACCCGGATGCTGCGAGATGGGCGGTAAGGCCCGCACCAAGCCGACGATACGGGACAGGTCCGCCGCTCAGCGCCTGTCGGCAGCCCTCACGCGACCCTACGGTGTTATCTTTGTACTGTTGTTCATAGGTCATCTCCCACACCACAAGTACAGTGGCGAAAACTATACATTCGTCCTGCTAACGGGCCAAGTATCGATCTGCGTTTGGCCGCTAGTCGGGCAATAGATTCGTTCCCACTTTTTTCAGGTACTGTACCACCAGCTAGCTGGCCACTAGCTGGCCAAACGTTTCCCAATTACAAGCCACTAACTGGCCAATTATCGTACTCTACTGACTGCTAGCTGGCCAGGTATAGTGATACCCCCTGGCGGCCGCTAGCGAGCCAGGTATCGCAAGTGCCCATGAGGACAACCGTAACCAGAGTGGCGAGTGGTTTACCTGTCCTCCGCTTCCTGCATCCATCGCTCTAGAACTGGCTTGATCTTTTGTGCACTTTTTGGCGTGATGTCTAGTTTTTCAAACCTAAAACGAGAAAATAGAGCTCGTGAATTTCTTGCTATAGCTTCGGTTCTCAGCTAATCTAACTTAGAAAGAGTTTTTGTTACATAGCATCATTACTCTACTGGTCATTAACTACACAATTTGTTAGTTGCAGTATACATGTGGGCTAAGAGCAACGGAGGGTGAAGCATTATTGTCTGGTGAAAGGGTCTTGCACACGGCAGCGTTTAAGCCCACCACCCATTAGTAGGCCAAGTCTAAGGTTTGTGTGAGTATTCTTTTACCGTGTGGTAAGTTTACCGTGTGGAAAACTTCGTCGCGGGGACGTGTGTGGTACTCCCAGCTCGCCACCCTAGTCAAAGCTCCCTCATCTTGAAAAAATCTTCGAAATAGTTTTTTTAACTGGTTTAATTCTTCAGTTATAGGAATATTATGGCCTTGTACATAAACACCGAAGAGGAACATGCGACCATCGTTTTGTTCAGGAACGACAGAGAGGACATCAGAGAGAGTATGTTAGTATGAGTTTTAGCATGTTAGTATTGGAGACACATTAACAACATACAAATCCAAATCCAAACCAGAAGCAAATTGAATTTAGTGGAGTCCCAGTGACTAGGGTAGCATGTGCTGCACCCTCCGCACCAAAACACACAATGGTTGAATTATCAGGTACTTTACACAGTAAACAACAAAAAGCTGGCATACTCTAACATCTGGCAGATGTAGGCTAGGCTGGGACACTTAGGACCTAAACAGTCCGCCTGATTGATTATAAAACACATATTTCTTTAGGTAACTGGTGAGCCTATTACATTAAATCTGTTAAGACCCATCATAACAAATGCAAAGTTTGTTGACTTAATGCTGTCAGGTCGTGGAAGCTCTGAAGGGTCTGGGCAACAATCTTATTGATTCTTCTTGTGTGTTTCGGTTTTACATTTAAATAAATTTTGAGCGCAAGATAGAACCCTAAAGAGACGGAATCCATGCATGAACGAATCATCATTAAAGTACAATATAACAAACCTGAAGTCTACTGTTAGACAGCGTATAAAATGCAGATTTGTTCTAAGTGAAATGGACAAAGAAAGTAGAATAGAAAACATTTAAATAAGCAATAAGATCAAACTACATTTTAACAAGAAATTTCAAAGAGTTTTAGTTGCATCATAAATTTTGGAATATTTTGAATGGCAGATTAAAAAATGCAAATATAGAAAAAAATACATACAATAAGAAAAATCTGATTAAAGACTGAAAAATAACAAATTCATACATTAAGTATCTAGTGGACAGTTGTTTACTACAACAATACATGCAACATAGCAACTAGAGCATCCAACATAACTAAGAGGGAGGAAGAGGGGGGGTTGGATGATACTGCAAATTTGGCAGCAGTATAGTAATAACAGGGAAGTGGGAGGGACGGAGAAAGAGAGAGAGAGAGGGAGAGAGAGAGAGAGGTGGGGGAGAGAGAGAGAGAACCTACCTGCAGATGGCTGACTGGGAGTACGCTGGGCCCTCGGTGATGCTTAAGGCTTGGCCCACCTGTGTCTGGGTAAGCCCCATGGACAGTCTTCGGATCTTGAAGGCCTTGGCGAACTCTTTAATCTCATCCAGGTTGACTCCGTCCACCAGGTTGCCTGTCGACTGGCTGATAGTGGGTTGGTCTGTGGGGGGAGGGTGGTAAAGGGGGACCTGGTTATAGACACGAGGGGGTGAAGGCTACGGTTATCATCATCTCACCAACCATCATATGAAGAAAAAGTAGAGCAAATATTAGGGAGAATGAAGAGAAAATAAAATATAACAGAGAAAGAAGGTAGATGATAATTAATCAATAAGAGAATGGAAAAGCTCAAAGATAAGGGATAAGGGCGCCTTACCCTTTATTAAAAGGAAAGAAGAGCGAGATAAAAGGGTATTGAACAAAACAGTACCGCCTATGTTGTTCATGGGAAGCTAGTTGAGGAAGACTGAGGGGAGGCAGGAGTGGAAGGAAGAGAAGAATAGAGGAAAAGAAGAAAAGAGGAAGAAATAAGAACAGAAGATAAAAGAAAAGGAGAGAGGTTAGAAGGATCTGCTAACACGTGTGCCTGTAGGGGGTCTGCAGGATCGAGCATTGGCTCTTGGATCCCGCCTTTCTAGCCGCCACTTGTTTATAGCAATATCTCCTGAACTACTTCCCTATAATATCTAGTTTTAAAACTATGAATAATGTTGCTTCCACAACCTGCTACTTAAGTTCATACCATTTTCATACTACTCTCACGCTAAAAGAAAACTTTCTAACATCTTTGTGACTCATCTGAGTTTCCAGCATCCACCCATGTCCATGTTGGTATTCAGTTTGAACATTTCGTCTATTTCCACTCTGTCAATCCCCCAAAGTATTTTATATGTTGCTATCATTTCTTCCCTCTCCCTCCTTTTTTTCTAGTGTCGTCAGGTTCAGGTCCTTCAGTCACTCTTCATATCCCATCCCTCGCAACTATGGAACGAGCCTCGTCGCAAATTTCTGGATCTTTCCAGTTTCCCAAAGTGTTTCTTCATGCGGAGACTCCATGATAGGGCTGCATACTCTAAGCCTGGTCTCACATAGGCAGAGTGTGCGTGTGTACTTACCTAGTTGTGCTTGCGGGGGTTGAGCTCTGACTCTTTGGTCCCGCCTCTCAACTGTCAACCAACTGGTGTACAGGTTCCTGAGCCTACTGAACTCTATCATATCTACACTTGAAACTATGTATGGAGTCTGCCTCCACCACATCACTACCTAATCATTCCATTTGTCTACTACTCTGACACTGAAAAATATTCTAATGTCTCTATGGCTCATTTGGGCACTCAATTTCCACCTGTGTCCCCTAGCGCGTATGCCCCTAGTGTAATGTGTGTGTACTCACCTAGTTGTACTCACCTAGTTGTGTTTGCGGGGGTTGAGCTCTGGCTCTTTGGTCCCGCCTCTCAACCGTCAATCAACAGGTGTACAGATTCCTGAGCCTATCGGGCTCTGTCATATCTACACTTGAAACTGTGTATGGAGTCAGCCTCCACCACATCACCCCCTAATGCATTCCATTTGTCAACCACTCTGACACTAAAAAACTTCTTTCTAATATCTCTGTGGCTCATTTGGGCACTCAGTTTCCACCTGTGTCCCCTTGTGCGTGTTCCCCTTGTGTTAAATAGACTGTCTTTATCTACCCTATCAATTCCCTTCAGAATCTTGAATGTGGTGATCATGTCCCCCCTAACTCTTCTGTCTTCCAGCGAAGTGAGGTTTAATTCCCGTAGTCTCTCCTCGTAGCTCATACCTCTCAGCTCGGGTACTAGTCTGGTGGCAAACCTTTGAACCTTTTCCAGTTTAGTCTTATCCTTGACTAGATATGGACTCCATGCTGGGGCTGCATACTCCAGGATTGGCCTGACATATGTGGTATACAAAGTTCTGAATGATTCTTTACACAAATTTCTGAATACCGTTCGTATGTTGGCCAGCCTGGCATATGCCGCTGATGTTATCCGCTTGATATGTGCTGCAGGAGACAGGTCTGGCGTGATATCAACCCCCAAGTCTTTTTCCTTCTCTGACTCCTGAAAAATTTCCTCTCCCAGATGATACCTTGTATCTGGCCTCCTGCTCCCTACACCTATCTTCATTACATTACATTTGGTTGGGTTAAACTCTAACAACCATTTGTTCGACCATTCCTTCAGCTTGTCTAGGTCTTCTTGAAGCCTCAAACAGTCCTCTTCTGTTTTAATCCTTCTCATAATTTTAGCATCGTCCGCATCGTGTGTGTGTGTATATATATATATATATATATATATATATATATATATATATATATATATATATATATATATATATATATATATATATATATATATATATATATATATGTCGTACCTAGTAGCCAGAACGCACTTCTCAGCCTACTATGTAAGGCCCGATTTGCCTAATAAGCCAAGTTTTCATGAATTATTTTTCGACTACCTAACCAACCTAACCTTACCTAACTTTTTCAGCGACCTAACCTAACCTAACCTATAAAGATAGGTTAGGTTAGGTAGGGTTGGTTAGGTTCGGTCATATATCTACGTTAATTTTAACTCCAAAATAAAAAATGTTACCTCTACGTTAATTTTACTCCATAAAAAAAATGATAATGAAAGGTAGCTTTATCATTTCATAAGAAAAAAATTTGAGAAAATATATAAATTCAATAATCGGCAAATGCCGATTTGCCCAATAGGCAAAGTTTTCCTGAATTTATATATTTTTCTGAATATATATATATATATATATATATATATATATATATATATATATATATATATATATATATATATATATATATATATATATATATATATATATAGGTATATATATATATATATATATATATATATATATATATATATATATATATATAATACTATTATTATTAATTATTAATATTGTTTCCCATTTTAGTTACCATCATTACGTCATAAGTTCCAATGAACGACAGTTTATATTCTTCATCTCATCGAGGACGCAATGTACATCAAAAGGCCTAACCCAAGCAACCCACCTAACATATCGAGGCCGTCGCTTATTCAACCTAAATATTACGGTCCTTTAATATTTAATAACTCTCCAGAAGATTGGTCAATTCCGTTAAAAATGTGACGCATTGAGAGGACGGGTTGGTATATCTCGTGACATTGTACATTCAGTTATTGGACAATCCAAATTTGACTTAGTTTGACCGTCACTGGACAGAACCTCGTTCAGTAATTATAGTGCTCGGGGATGCAGACTAATGTAAGGGGTGGGATGTAGGGGGAGGGATATTTCTAGAGGTAGGGGTGAGGGAGGGAACATGAAGAGGTGACGGGTTGGGATGGCGGGGAGGTGGTAGCTGCGAGTCAGGCCATTATGTGTTATGTTACGTTAATGTAATACGTACATTATGATGGCTAACTTGCCAAATTGTGTGTGGTGAAGGGGTAATATTCCCAGCTGCGAGTGATGCTTGGAGGAGTGTCTAACACGGTGCTGAGATTATCATGGGGTGAGCACATGAGCTGAGTGATGCTGGTTCCTGTCCATCCTTCCCTGATCAAAAGGGAAGGGGGGACAGGAACCCCCTTTCCTTTTTATGAATTATATATATTATATAATATATATATAATATATATATATATATATATATATATATATATATATATATATATATATATATATATATATATATATATATATATATATATATATATATATATATATATATATATATATATATATATATGTATATATATATATATATATATATATATATATATATATATATATATATATATATATATTTATTTATATATATGCCCTATTTGCTCTTACATTTTATCTATTTTTGCTCCCTTTTAATTATTGTTGTTTTTTCCAAAATCCTGTAATTCCAACGTATTTTAATTTTGTTCTTAAAAGTCTACGGCTTTTGTGAATTTTAATTTGAAGAAATATAATCTAATTCCTTTTAAATACATTTTCTATGAGCGCGAAAATACTCCTCGTCACTATTTCGCGAGAAAATAAACACCACCGCTATCTCGTGGGAAAATAAACCCAACCGTTATCTTGCGAGATAATAAACCCAACCGTTATCTTGCGCGATAATAAACCCAACCGTTATCTTGCGCGATAATTAACCCAACCGTTATCTTGCGCGATAATAAACCCAACCGTTATCTTGCGTGATAATAAACTCAACTGTTATCTTGCGCGATAATAAACCCAACCGTTATCTTGCGAGATAATAAACCCAACCGTTATCTTGTGCGATAATAAACCCAACCGCTATCTTGCGCGATAATAAACCCAACCGTTATCTTGTGCGATAATAAACCCAACCGTTATCTTGCGCGATAATAAACCCAACCGTTATCTTGTGCGATAATAAACCCAACCGTTATCTTGTGCGATAATAAACCCAATCGTTATCTTGTGTGATAATAAACCCAACCGTTATCTTGTGCGATAATAAACCCAACCGGTATCTTGTGCGATAATAAACCCAACCGTTATCTTGTGCGATAATAAACCCAACCGTTATCTTTTGCGATAATAAACCCAACCGTTATCTTGTGCGATAATAAACCCAACCGTTGTCTTTTGCGATAATAAACCCAATCGTTATTTGCGCGATAATAAACCCAACCGTTATCTTGTGCGATAATAAACCCAACCGTTATCTTGCGCGATAATAAACCCAACCTTTATCTTGCGTGATAAAATTCTCCACCACTATCACGCATAATCGGATACGCTTCACACCTAATGAGCTCAATTGTCCAATTTTTACTCTCAATCAGTAAATACGGCAGCTCCTTCAGACGCTGAACACTGAGACGTTCCCGTGAACCACGTCCTCCTAAGGTTTCCTAACGTCAAGAAACAGTCGTACTAAAGTGCCCTTATCCTAACCAACCAGAAGACCCAAAACAGAAAACGGACACGTAATGTCAATTTCGCGAGCTGCTACCATTTTGTAATACGTCCATTTTTGGCCTTAGGTAGAGTATACGTCAAAATGCGACGTTATATTAGGAGGACGGGTTGACCTGTAATAAGGAGAGCGTAGGTACCTCCCTCTACAACCAGGCTGTTGGTGGTGGAGGTGTGAGTGCTATCGTTAAGCCGTTATATCTGGGGCTGGGGGGGGGGGATATCACCAGGTCATGCTGAGTAAACACAGCCATCACTGGTCGTCAAGTGCTTTCACACAGGTCAATATTTCTTCTATATATAGATGATAATTAAAGCTGCTGTGTGAGTAACGTTATCCATGGGTGAATATCGCTAGCGTTGGATGAATGTCGCTACCGCTGGCTGGGTATTGCCACCGCTGGCTGGGTATCGCTACCGCTGGCTGGGTATCGCTACCGCTGGCTGGGCATCGCTAGCGCTAGCTTGGTATCGCTAGCGCTGGCTTGGTATCGCTACCACTGGCTGGCTATCGCTACCGCTGGCTGGGTATTGCTAGCACTGGCTCAGATTGCTTGGTGAGAATGATTATCGCTAGGTAAGTAGAGCCAGGTGAATATCGCTTGGTGAGTATCGCTAGGAGAGCATTACTATCATTAGTTGGATATTACTATTACTGAGTTGCTCTTATAATCGCTAGGCATGTATAAACACTTTCAGGAGTGTTTATTTATCGCCAGACATGTAATTAACGATAAAAGTGTATTGCTATCGCTGGCAGTATAGCATATTCCTACAGCAAGGTGCGTATATATATATACACATATATGCCCTTTGCTGTACGAATATATTGAATAAATATAGTTTGACGTGAATATATAGTCGAGAATATATTACTAGTTCTGAATATATCGCTAATCGTAAATATATCGGTAGTCGTAAATATATCGGTAGTCGTAAATATATCGGTAGTCGTAAATATATCGGTAGTCATGAATATATCGCTAGTCGTGAATATACCGCTAGTCGTGAATATATCGCTAGTCGTGAATATATCGCTAGTCGTGAATATACCGCTAGTCGTGAATATATCGCTAGTCGTGAATATATCGCTAGTCGTAAATATATATTGCCAGGGGGGGGGGACATAACTGACGTGGCGTCCGCGGATTTTGTGTTTTCAAACGTAGGTTAGAGAAATATATGAATGGGTGTGGTTGGGCAACCACGCGTGGTAGTAATACAGAACACAAGCTACCATGCATCGGTCGACACAACTTTCATTTTTATGTTCATATTCTTATTAATTCATTTGCATGCGTATATTTCTATCTCAGGGCGTGGAGTGCTAAAGCTTGAAGCGTATATGTTTGGACGCTCTAAAATCTTAAAAAAAAAAGAGTTAAAAATACAGTTTCGTTCTTCTAACTCAAAATACTGATGGTTTATTAGTTTAAATAAACTTATTGTACTATACAACATTTTCAGTTGTGTGAGTCTCGTATACTTATGCCGGTTCCAATCCAGCATAATTATCTCATATATTTATTATATAGAATTACTAGGTGGGGTTACCGGCTGCGCCCGGGTCTCTCTCTCTCCCTCTCCCCTCATCCGACGCCACCCCCCCCCTCTCTCTCTCTCCCAATCTCCTCGCGCTCTCACCACTCTTCCCCTACTCCCTTCTCTTTAATCTTACCCGTTGAGGTTAAATAAAGATAGCCTCAACCCCCCTCACCATCTTTCTTCCTCAACATCCCAACTACCCTTCTTACCTCTCTCCTTCCCTTTCGTCCCTCTCTCTCTCTCCCATCTTCTCCATCTTTCTCCCTACTCTTCTCCAACAGCTCCTCTCTCTCTGTTGACCAGACCACACACTAGAAAGTGAAGGGACGACGACGTTTCGGTCCGTCCTGGACCATTCTAAAGTCGATCAAGTCGATCACAATCGACTTGAGAATGGTCCAGGGCGGACCGAAACGTAGTCCCTTCTCTTTCTCGTATGTGGTCTGGTCAACATACTTCAGCCACGTTATTGTGACTCATCGCCTCCTCTCTCTCTCATTCATCTTCTCCCCTTCTCCACTCTTCCTAGCAGTCTATCCCTTCTTCCCTCCCACTCTCATTCTCTTTCCCCAAATATCCTCCATCTCCTTTCGTCTTCCCACTCCCCTTTCCCCTCTCTCCCTCCACCCCCTTCCCCTTACCCTTCTTACGCCCTTCTCGACCCCATTTCACCCGGGTAGTTTTTTATTATTACCATATTTAGGTACATCCACATTTCTGCAGGATCCCCAGACCACAGGAACGGTTGCGGTGTATCATCTCACAGGATGGTTAGTCAGTCAGGACCGTGCGATCAGTTGCCTCCACTGACAAACTTTGTATGCATTATGAAGATATCTTCAAGAACATGAGAGTGAATAAAGCAGTAAAGATATTACAAGTCCTCATCTTGCAGGATAGTCAGTCATACAGGGGTAAGAGATAGTTAACTGGCACTGGTAGACTTCGGTTGCAATTATGAGGATATCATCAAGAAGACGAAGGTATATAAGGTGATTGCAAGGTTCCAGGGATATCATGCCGGCAGACCTGAAGGGTCTAATGACTGGACACTCAATGCTGTAGTGTGGGACATCATGACCCACTTGCTGCTCCCAGAGGTTGCACATGGTAACGGTAGCTCAACCTGGCTGTGGCAACCACAGTGTCGCACAAGGTAACGGTAGCCCCACCTGGCTGTGGCAACCACAGTATCGCACACGGTAACGGTAGCCCAACCTAGCTGTGGCAACCACTATGTCGCACACGGTAACGGTAGCCCAACCTGGCTGTGGCAACCACAGTATCGCACACGGTAACGGTAGCCCAACCTGGCTGTGGCAACCACTATGTCGCACACGGTAACGGTAGCCCAACCTGGCTGTGGCAAACACAGTATCGCACACGGTAACGGTAGCCCAACCTGGCTGTGGCAACCACTGTGTCGCACAGTCTGTTGGACGTGTTCTACTGCCCGTATTCATGGGTTTTCGATCTAAAGAAATCATTGGTTTTTATACTCGTGCTTTCAGGCCTTTCTCTCCCATCAGAGCTGTTCAGAACAATATATTCTTAACAACAGAGATATGGATACCTGGGTCTAGGTCAACTTCATCCTTGTTACATGTGAATTTCACAGTGTCTGTGTCATCATAATGGGTTATATTCATGAACGACAGTTTCCATACATAAGAGATTCTGAACTCTTAATTCTGTGCAGCGAGCAGGCTATTTATAATTGCTATTATGCAGCTCTTGCTGTCGATCTTGTTAGAGAAGTTTTCAAGTGTTGAAAAGCAAACTTTGATTCATAGAAAATTATTCTTCCTGAGCTTTTTAGTATACTGGACTTGCAGTGCAACTTGTGGCGGTAGTAAGCATGAACACTCTACGGTTTTCAGAACCCCAGATATTACTTCAAGCTAATTGTAAATTGTGAAGGTTAGGCTATGGAAGCAAATTTTAAAGCATGACTCTTGGGCTGACCCCGAGAAACACAGATTTTATTTGACACAAACCGATAACAGAACACTGGTACAGTTTCCAGCTATTTTCAGCGTTCATGATCTAGAGGACGTACCTAAAGGCCAAGTAATATTATATAGTCAAGAAATGCTAGAATTAGTTGACCCATTGTTTTAGCTATACAGAGTTACAGCCTATTGTCACTGCTTAAGATAAAATAAATGTAAGGTTATTATCGTACTCATTTCAGCTTATTAACATGGATATATTTTGTAATTTTTAAATGTTTTTTGTCTGTCAAATATTTATTTGTATATATTGTTAATCATACAAACATTTGAGCTTGGTGTTATATATTTTAGTGCGGAAATCCCAACTGCTGGAGTTGGGATTTCAACATGGTGAAGTTGTCCATTTTTGTCTTTATTGTGTCCTCGCATGTGAGAGTCCAGCATCCTTCCCACTCCACAGCCCTATCCCCTTAGACCCATCTATTCTTATCCCAAATCCCTATCCTGATCCCATCCAAGTGCTATATAGTCGTAATGGCTTGGCGTTTTCTCCCGATACTTCCCTTCCTCAATTCTCCATCCTCCCTCAAATAAAGAATAATAATATGCCAAATACTTACTAATTCAGATACATACAAATTCACCGTCTCTCTCTTTATTAACTTAATTTGTCTTCATGTCTAAAGCCATACACGACTCCCAGTGTACTCCAAAATTTTCTATACTGAACTTGAGATATCTCTGGGATATACTCTTCCATCTTGAGATTTTAAACAAATTACATCATAAGCATTATTTATTACAAATACATGAACAGAACGAATGTTTTAGTAAGTATATATGTATTAAGAGATGAGACTGTCATACTCACTGTGGTTGTCGAGGAAGTCCGGGGAGTATCTGGCTGTGGGCGGCGGGGGCGGTGCTGGGTAGTGCCCGCTCAATCTACTGGCCAGGCCGCCCACAGAGTCTGTTGGGCGGCAAGAAGGAGGAAACACAGAAATGAGAACAAAGGTTGATCTACAATTACAACAATAATGTAAGAATATTTATTCATTTCTAATTTATATCTATCTATCATCTATCTATCTATCTTTCTATCTATCCAACTACTTTTGCATCTACTAATTCATTTATCCGCAACATATATCCTCCCGCCCATCCATACTTACTATCTCGATAATACGACTCAAATATTAATGGAAGTGCTCACACGTCCGGGTGCGCGAGTGTGGTCCGAGCACTGAGAGACCAGCCCTGGACGCCTCACAGTGTGGGTCCGAGCACAGAGAGACCAGACCTGGACGCCTCACAGTGTGGTCCGAGCACTGAGAGACCAGACCTGGACGCCTCACAGTATGGTCCGAGCACTGAGAGACCAGACCTGGACGCCTCACAGTGTGGTCCGAGCACTGAGAGACCAGACCTGGACGCCTCACAGTGTGGTCCAAGCACTGAGAGACCAGACCTGGACACAACACAGAGCTTCAGGTGCCTCGCTGTGTTACCCTGGCCGCGATTTCAGTGTAGTTCTCACATCCACAAGAGATGATGATCGTTGATGGGCCGTCAAGTGCCTAGGCTACGTCAGGGTTAGTGAGCTGGCAACCCATTCTCCCATTTGGCGGAACGTACAAAAACGGACAACTGCAGTCATGTTTAGATTTTGTACTATTAACTTTGTAAGGAACAGGAAAAAAACAGAAACCAGAATATTCATGGGCCAAGTATACTACATATATGTACTATATTAAGCCTAACACAGCGTACATTGCTTGGACAGGTTAGATTAGATTTTTGCTTTAGCATTTCTCTAGACTCTCAATTGACCTAATTCAGTAATAAACGTGAACTTTTTACATTTCAAAGGTGTATTTTTGTACGGTTTGAACAAATAGTTGCTATAAATACTTAGTAGTGAATGGGCCTAGATAATGCATATACCCAACCCATCTCCTTGTTTAGATAGTAATTATTGTAATTATTTGGACCATCGTACATATATTGATGTAATGGACAATTAGATAGTAGAATTTGGTATTATTCATTTAATAAGTCTGGAAAAAATAGAGCCAAAAACCAAACATAAATATTCCTTGGTCTAGTATAGCACATATATGTTAAATATTAGGCCTGAAGTAGGCCTAGGATGGTTAGGTTAGGTTTCATTGCCAACGCAAATACAAAACCTTTCTCGGTTGGTCCAATTTCAATAGTTCTAAATTCTACTTTCTAATTGTCCAGTACCTCAAAACATGTGTCACGGTTCTCAGCGTTACTATAAGTACTATCTAAACAGGAAGATGGGCTGTCAATCCCTACAAAGCGCCTATATGAATAGGTAGTCAGGTCCTTAGAGAGTGCCTATATCAATGGGCTGTCAAGCCTTAGACACCGCCTATATCAATAGGTAGTCAGGCCCCTAGACAACGCCTATATCAATGGGAGTCGGGTGAGGAAGTTTCACTCTTTTCTGCCTTGTGAACCTTTTTACCTTTAGTTAATCAATAAAACTTTCAGATAATGAACAGCTCTCTTATGTAACTGTCTGGATGACTGCTTCTGGGAAGTGAATAAAGTCTGCGCTTCCAATAGTAAGAGTATTAATACAATTTCATGCATTAACCAAAACTAATAAAACATTCGTTGCTTCAAAAAGGTAAAAATGAAGTATGTACAAGTAATGCCTTTCAGAAAATAGTTATATCTTGCTCACTTTTATACTTGCGTTATCTTCGTCCTGATAAGAAAAGTGGTCAAGGATGAGATGTGCACTTTAATGCTTAGAAGACAAAAATGTGTGACCCTGTTCTCAAACCGACAATTACACACGGAAAAGGAGGTCGATAAATACAGTCTACTTATACAGTCGACAACTACAGTCTACGTATACAGTCGACAAATAGTCTATATAAAGAGAGGGCAAATACAGTCTACATATATACAGTTTACAAATAGAGTGGAGACACAGAGTAGGGTGTGAGAGAGCGACTCACCTGTCACAGGAGACGACATTGGCAGTGGTAGCTTGGCCTTGTTGTCTCCGCTCATGTTGTTATTATTGTTGTTGTTGTTACTGTTGTTGTTGTTGTTGTTGTTGTGGGCGTGGTGGGCGTGAAAGAGGGAGGGGGGTAGGCCGGCGAGGCCTAGGAGGGGGTGCGGGGCTGCCGAGGTGGAGGAGGAGGAGGAGGAGGTGGAAGAGTTGGAGGAGGAGGAAGGGGGCAGCGGAGAGGAGTTAGTGGAACCTGAGGAGAACGAACACTTATTATTATTTTTAGTTATGAACGGCGCTAAAATTATAATGTTTGATTCTGTAAGCTTAGGGGGCGTGTGGGAGGGTGTATTTACTATTTGTGCCTGCAGAATCGAGCTATTAGCTCTTGGACCCCGCCTTTCTAACCAATCTATTGTTCCTCTATTATATCTATAACATTTATATCTAACACTCGCACACAAACACATACACACACAGGAAGCAGCCCGTAGCAGCTGTCTAACTCTATTTACTACTAGGTGAACAGATCATCAGGGTGAAAGAAACTCTGACCATTTGTTTTCGCCTCCGCTGCGAATCGAACCCGGGCTCTTAGGACTACGATCATCGAGTGCTGTCCACTCAGCTGCGAGGCCCTCGCGCGCGTGTGTGTGTGTGTGTGTGTATGGGGTCAATATGTAAGTCTTCAAGGATCTTGTTACAATTCTGGGAGAAACCATTTATTATATTAACTTGATAAAGATAAGTTTTGATCTCTTATCGTCTGTGTCTGTCTGTCTCACTTTCTATATTTTCCCTCTCTTCCGTTCTTCCTCACTATCCCGCCTCTCTTGCACACGCTGCACATCCTCCATACCTTGCTCCTACACACCTACACCCATACCCCCCCTCCCTCATATATATGCCTACTACACACACAGACACACATACGTATATACCTACCCAAACCCACACTAACACCCGTACCCACCTAACCCACATCCACACCCACCACCCCTACCCACATTCACCACTACCCACCTAACCAACACCCCCTACCCACATTCACCACTACCCACCTAACCCACACCCCCTACCCACATTCACCACTACCCACTCAACTCACACTCCCACCCATCCCACACTCACCCATTTCCGCGCAACCCAGTCACCCATATCCACTGATTCCAGTAGGCTCAGGAATCTGAACACCAGTTGATTGACAGTTGAGAGGCGGGACCAAAGAGCCAGAGTTCATTCCCCACAAGCACAACTAGATAAGTACAACTAGGTGAGTACTCAACCCCATTCTTACACTCATATCCACTCAAACCACACTCACACTCCTACCCACACTCAATACCCACCCAACCAACACTCACCCATTCACACCCAACCCAAACCCAACCCCTAGCCACCCAACCCACTCCCACCCAACCCACACCCGCACCCTGGAGCACTATTGGGGTTCGTCAGGCGAAGCAGCGTCTGACGCAACGCACAAGGTGCTGGCGCAATATATGTATAGGGCGCGGCCACTTCCCCACATTATGCATACTTGCTATCTTGAGAAACAATAATTTCTGTAATTATTATTATTATTATTATTATTAATATTGAACAAATCCACAGGAGCTTTGCTGAAGGTTCGAACCTTTGCGCTGAGTGTTCCCAGACGCGCCCTAGTCAACTGTACCATGACATGGTCAAAAGAATTGCAACCTGGAGTGCTACTGCACCCACGAGGGTTCCGAGACCTCCACTGAAGCTTAACCGGGTTTCACACAATTCTCCCATGCACTCGGGCTCGGTCAACCAGTAGTACTACCTCTGACGCTCCTCTTTCAATACACAGAGAAATCACACTAACGTGATGTCCCGTTTTCTGTTCATGGGACCTCTGGTAGGATAGGTTAGGACACTTTAGTACAACAGTTTCTTGACGCTGGGAACACTCGCGAGAACGGGCTGGATGATCACCTCTATCCCATCCTAGCCCTCTATGATACTGGATTATTACAGAAGATCAGAAGTATAACAAATTGAGGCACTTGGTGAAGCCCCAGAACTGAAGAATATAGTCCCTGACGTGTGTATATAGACGGGCGCCAGTAATGAGTAAGGGAGGGCAGGCGTGAAGGAAGAGGGGGGGGGGATGAAAGATGAGGAGAAAAGAAGAAAGGATGAGGAGAAAATAAGGAAGGATGAGAAAAAAGGAAAGGGCAAAAATGAAGGAAGAGGAGATATGATAAAGAGAGAGGGTGAATTATAACGGGGAGAAATAGGGAAACAAGGCGTGATGTAAGGAAGGAAGAGAAATGAGGAATGGAGAGGAGAAATGAGGAATGGAGTGGAGAATGAGGGCATGAAAGTTGTTGCTACAGTGGTCAGTTGGGATAATTAGGAAGCCGGCCACTCCTATTGCCTTGAAGCGGTCTAAGCTAAACCGCGCACATGCACGCACGCACGCACACACACACACACACACATACACATATACACACACAAACACACACATATATATATATATCCGCACACATAAAAAACTCAAACACCGATTCTCCACCCAGAGAAAGACAAACAAAAAAAATAGAGAAATTAGCGAGTATCATAACAAAGCTGAGGTAGCGTTTAATTAAATCATGCTTACGAACAAATTAACTTGGTAACGAGACACCATAATGAGTTCAGTCTCTGCTCGGCAAAATCCTGTACTCTAGCCTCCGAAAACCGTATAATTTTCCCCAGGACTCGCAACTCCAGGTGTATATGGAGTCAGGTGTGTGAGTGTCTTCTTAGACGCTCTTATTAAACACTTCCTCACTCACAAATACTAACATATATATGTATGTATATGACAGTGTCAGACCACGAAGGAAGAATGGAAACAGGAATTTCCTTAAGTACTTTCGTATTTAATAATACATCTTCAGAAGGATCTAGCCTCCGAATCCTTCTGAAGATGTATTATTAAATACGAAAGTACTTAAGGAAATTCCTGTTTCAATTCTTCCTTCGTGGTCTGACACTGTCACATTTTTCATCACGTGTTAATTTTCGTGATTTACACACATTATATATATATATATATATATATATATATATATATATATATATATATATATATATATATATATATATATATATATATATATATATATTTAATATCGATACTTACTAATAATAATACATATTATAAAATCTAGAATTTTCTAATCATCATTAATGCTACCAATTCAAAATGCGTATGTAATCCTGCTCCGTAATGTGAAGCAGCCGCTCGCCCCACTAACTTAGAGGCGACTTAACCTCTTGGGCACCTGGAGCATTATTCACCACACCATGACCATCATGCTTGTCGCCTTGTTGGCCAGCCCATCCTCCTGTCTCCCAACGTCTAGAAGACGGTCAATTTAAAGTGTGCTCTCCTAACCTACTAGAGGACCCAAAACAGAAAACGGGACAGTACGTCACTTTCGCGAGTCACTGTCATTTTCAAGTACGACAATTTTTGGCCTTAACGAATATGTAACGATATGTAACGAATACGAGCGAAAAGAGACGTTCTTTGTAGGAAAACAGGTTGTGTTGGCAAGGTGGTGTTGAAAGAGAGAGAGAGAGAGAGAGAGAGAGAGAGAGAGAGAGAGAGAGAGAGAGAGAGAGAGAGAGAGAGAGAGAGAGAGAGAGAGAGAGAGAGAGAGAGACACTCTCCGACAGACAGACAGACCCACGTCGTCATATGAGAAGACCTGCCAGAAAAGTACGATGACTGTTTTCACTCGCCTCTCGTGATTACACTGATGATGCTATAAAAGTGGAACTGCTTAGCTAGGAAGGCCTTGGCAAGGATCAAACACCGGCACCCTCTGATATTTTCTGCCTTGTCAAGTGAACTCATTACTTGATGATAGTCTCTAGGTATTCTGAGGGAGGGAGGGATGGAGGGCAGGGCTTGACACGGGAGGCTGGGAGAGGCAAAGAGAGAAGATATGGAAAGCAAGGGAACGAAAGGTTCCAACAAAGATAAAATGGTAATGAGTAACAGGGAAAGAAGAGTGTAGTAGAAGTTTGACAAGGAATTAAGGAGGAAGTAGTCAGTAAATTGAGAAAGGCGAAAATAAATGAGGGAAAGAGGAAGAAGGCTGCATGGAAGTAGGGACGAAGGGATGGAAGGAAGGAATTGTAAAGTAGAAGGGGTAGAAGGATGGAGGAAGGGGGAGAGAGGAACAACGAGAGGAGGGAAAGATAGAGAGAGAGAGAGAGAAGAGAGAGAGAGAGAGAGAGAGAGAGAGAGAGAGAGAAGGAGACGAGAGAGAGAGAGAGAGAGAGAGAGAGGATAGAGAGAGAGAGAGAGAGAGAGAGAGAGAGAGAGAGAGAGAGAGAGAGAGAGAGAGAGAGAGAGAGAGAGAGAGAGAGAGAGAGAGAGAGAGAGAGAGAGAGAAGGAGGAAAAAAGAAGGAAAATAAAAGACCTGATAATGACATTATTTACATCTTCAAGCTCAAATTTTTGGTTGACAAATCCTCGCTAATGAAACTCTTGTGTGTGTGTGTGTGTGTGTGTGTGTGTGTGTGTGTGTGTGTGTGTGTGTGTGTGTGTGTGTGTGTGTGTGTGTGTGTGTGTGTGTGTGTGTGTGCTCTTGTATGTGTTTGAAGAAGCAGGTGCTTGAAGTATCATCAGCTAAATGCACAGCATGTTTCACCCATTACCTGGGTAGCGACGAGCATCAGTCAGCGAAGCAGTGCACACAGACCACATGTGACGAACAGGTGTGGGGGCGGCCGCGTACTTGACGACGGCTGTAATTGCGGTTCTGTGCCACAGCTCACTAAACTGACGGTGTCTTTTAAGGAAAACCTAAATTAATGAGCTTGTGTAATGTTCTTGTAAACTGGCTGTCTCCTTTTAAATGGTAATTTAAACTGACTGGGTTATCGTAAGGACTGTGTAAACTGAGTCTCGTTTAAAGTGGGGACCTCTTACTGTTATCTCATGAATCGAGTCTTTTGTTAGGGTTATCTTAAGAAATAATGTTTTTCACGTGTAAACACATTATCCTCTCTAAAGGTATATATTTCCTATATATATATAGCTTTATATTTTCCATGTCAAATTTAAATTAATGATGGACGTAGAGTAGATGTTTAATGTTTTGGAGGTACTGATAATAGACAAGATATTGAGTGTATACTAATTACCTCTATATATAAACCCATTAACAAGAAATTTGGCAGCTGAATTGTTAAGAAGGAGTCAAATTACCTCTGGAGAAAACTATACGTGTTAACTTGTCACTAACGGCACCAAAACGCATTGGAAAAACCTTACAAATGAACTCAAGTAACATGTACATTTGTACCTCAATGGTGCAATAATATTAACAAATTTGACACACATCTCACGCATAGCATAATATTACGTGGCCGGCACACAGACAGCATATTTAATATTGTAATGAGCAATGGGCAAGACAGAGTATAATTGGTCACACGTGTAGACTGTAGAGCAGTCCTGGGCGGTCCTTGTAACTAGTCTTCTCAGTCTTTGTATATATGCAATTGTCTGTGTCACTGCCTGTGTCACCCCTGTGTCACTGTCTGTCACTACCAGAGGCACTACCTGTGTCACAACGTGACTGAGTATGATTGTAATTGTGCCCTTGTATATGTGTGAGTGTTTGACCTCGTATGTGTGAGTGTTTGAATGAGCATGTGTATGCCAATATACTTTGCTCTCTCCCTCTTAAGTCAATGCCTCATTTTTATTCTCAAGGGATGCTGCCTGTTTCGGAATCTGGATACCTTAGTACTTCTGGTTTCTATTGTAATCAATTGCCTAAGCATTCTAATTCTTTTAATATATTGCGAAAATCCTTCATGCATTTTCGTGTTAAGTATGAATGTATAATGTATAATGATGAGGATATAAGTGTGTGGTCGAGTGAAAACCAGTTACTAGACAAAGAGAACAGCAGGGTGTGTCAGTCAGTCCTTCAATAAGACAGTATAAAGACTGTATATATGGTGACAAAGGGGGGAATATATTTAATACATTCACTTTGACATCAAATAGTTTACAACTGTGCCAGTCGGAGAAATAAGGAAAGAAGTAACATGTGTTATAACAATAAGGTCTTGATTTAGTTCGGTTATTTCTAGGTGAGGATAGACCTGGTTTAGGTTAGGTTAGGTAAGGATAGGCCTGGTTTAGGTTAGGTTAGGTAAGGATAGGCCTGGTTTAGGTTAGGTTAGGTGAGGATAGGCCTGGTTTAGGTTAGGTTACGTATGGATAAGCCTGGTTTAGGTTAACTTAGGTAAGGATAGGCCTGGTTTAGGTTAGGTTAGGTGAGGAGAGGCCTGGTTTAGGTTAGGTTAGGTGAGGAGAGGCCTGGTTTAGGATAGGACGGACCCGTGTAGTATTTTTGGTGTCGGTATTTTTAGGGCACTAGGTTATTACTTTCCTTTTTTCTACAAAAAGACAAATTGTGGACTGTTTGCTGTGCAAAAGTTAACGTTTTGGACGTACAACCTACATTAACTATATGTACTGTCTTATTATAGTATGGGGCCTATAAACACATATACAAGCCAAACGTATAAAATTCTTGCCTCAGGCAAGAACGCGCGCGCACGTACACACGCACGCACACTCACACACACTCACACACACACACACACACACACACACACACACACACACACACACACACACACACACACACACACACACACACACACACACACACACTCACACACACACACACACACACACTCACACACACTATAAAATCACCGGATAGGAAAGTACTAATAAGTACACGCACCCAAACACACAACTTCAATATGAATGAAAAGCACACATCAGTTCATCTTATCACTAGCAAGCCTCTACACCCTCCAAGGCAGCCATCCTGACCCATCACCCTCCAAGGCAGCCATTCTGACCCATCACCCTCCAAGGAAGCCATCCTGACCCATCACCCTCCAAGGCAGCCATTCTGACCCATCACCCTCCAAGGCAGCCATCCTGACCCATCACCCTCCAAGGCAGCCATTCTGACCCATCACCCTCCAAGGCAGCCATTCTGACCCATCACCCTCCAAGGCAGCCCATGACCCATCACCCTCCAAGGCAGCCATCATGACCCATCACCCTCCAAGGCAGCCATCCTGACCCATCACCCTCCAAGGCAGCCATCCTGACCCATCACCCTCCAAGGCAGCCATCCTGACCCATCACCCTCCAAGGCAGCCATCATGACCCATCACCCTCCAGGCAGCCATCCTGACCCATCACCCTCCAAGGCAGCCATCCTGACCCATCACCCTCCAAGGCAGCCATTCTGACCCTCACCCTCCAAGGCAGCCATCCTGACCCATCACCCTCCAAGGCAGCCATTCTGACCCATCACCCTCCAAGGCAGCCATCATGACCCATCACCCTCCAAGGCAGCCATTCTGACCCATCACCCTCCAAGGCAGCCATCATGACCCATCACCCTCCAAGGCAGCCATCCTGACCCATCACCCTCCAAGGCAGCCATCGTGACCCATCACCCACCTAGGCAGCCATTCTGAGCCATCACCCTCCAAGGCAGCCATGCTGACCCATCACCCTCCAAGACAGCCATCATGACCCATCACCCTCCAAGGCAGCCATCGTGACCCATCACCCTCCAAGGCAGCCATCGTGACCCATCACCCACCTAGGCAGCCATTCTGAGCCATCACCCTCCAAGGCAGCCATTCTGACCCATCACCCTCCAAGGCAGCCATCATGACCCATCACCCTCCAAGGCAGCCATCCTGACCCATCACCCTCCAAGGCAGCCATCGTGACCCATCACCCACCTAGGCAGCCATTCTGAGCCATCACCCTCCAAGGCAGCTATCCTGACCCATCACCCTCCAAGGCAGCTATCCTGAGCCATCACTCTGCAAGGCAGCCATCCTGACCCATCACCCTCCAAGGCAGCCATCCTGACCCATCACCCTCTAAGGCAGCCATTCTGACCCATCACCTTCCAAGGCAGTCATCATGACCCATCACCCTCCAAGGCAGCCATCCTGACCCATCACCCTCCAAGGCAGCCATCCTGACCCATCACCCTCCAAGGCAGCCATTCTGACCCATCACCTTCCAAGGCAGTCATCATGACCCATCACCCTCCAAGGCAGCCATCCTGACCCATCACCCTCCAAGTCAGCCATCGTGACCCATCACCCACCTAGGCAGCCATTCTGAGCCATCACCCTCCAAGGCAGCCATGCTGACCCATCACCCTCCTAGGCAGCTATCCTGAGCCATCACCCTCCAAGGCAGCCATCCTGACCCATCACCCTCCAAGGCAGCCATCATGAGCCATCACCCTCCAAGGCAGCTATCCAGACCCATCACCCTCCAAGGCAGCTATCCTGAGCCATCACCCTCCAAGGCAGCCATCCTGACCCATCACCCTCCAAGGCAGCCATCATGAGCCATCACCCTCCAAGGCAGCCATCCTGAGCCACCAGTGCACTAGTGACACTCCGTCGTCTCCTGGACAAACCCATGGCTGTGTTCAGGATGCAATAGCAATCCTCTTCACAGCCGTAACGAGTTAAGGGTCGATTACCTAACTACGTACGTTGATTACCTTATTAGGTGTGCTGATTATGATATCAAGTTCTCTGAATACTGAACCACCATGACTATCCCAGCCTTATTGCACTCGCCGAGTTCCTTATTACATTTGATGATTATTTCTGTCTGCACTTGCCAGTACCAACACAATTAGTTGTTGAACAAATGCACAAGGGTCGAGAAGAGGGTTCAAACCTTCGCACGGGATGTTCCCAGAAGCGCCTTAGTCAGTGTTGATATATCACGCTATTGTGATTTCTGTGTGTGTACAATTAATTGTTGTTTATCACAACACTTTGGAAAGAATATAGCTAAATCTTGCCCCGTCATTCATCAATCCACATTCCGTGAAGAATGGCCATCCTTACTGTTGTCATTCTATCACTAAAATTACACATTCCACTATCAACCAACGACAACTCCAACAACTTGCTCTGATTCCACAACAGCTCTTCATCAGTAGGAGACATGATGTGTATCATCACACTTGACATGTTCTGCAGAGTGTCCTGCAGAGTGTCCTGCACAGTGTCCTGCACAGTGTCCTGCACAGTGTCCTGCAGAGTGTCCTGCAGAGTGTCCTGCACGGTGTCCTGCACACTACTGTTGGTTACTATCTCATCCCATCACACAACACTTGTGCACATGTATATACACTTTTCGAGACTATGATGCATACGTAGTGTTCGATGACTTGATTGTTGGAGAACGAGTTTGTTGGCGATTTCACCCGCTTTCTTCATCCCAATATTTTTTTCTGCCACTCTTACTCTCTCTCTCTCTCTCTCTCTCTCTCTCTCTCTCTCTCTCTCTCTCTCTCTCTCTCTCTCTCTCTCTCTCTCTCTCTCTCTCTCTCTCTCTCTCTCTCTCTCTCTCTCTCTCTCTCTCTCTCACCTGTGTGCTGGGGGTGTGGTCCCGGCTGGGGGAGGTGGTGGAGGGGAACAAGGGGGTTCATCAGCGAGGAGCCTTGAACGCCAGCCTGTCCCAGAGGTATGGTCAAGATGGGCTGCACCGCGATACCTGTCGGAAAAAAATGTCTTAAGAGTGAAGGAAGGTAAATCATAACTCATAAACATTAACAAGTTACCAGAGTGATAGAAACTCTTGTTTAGGGACAGTCAAGTGTATGTTAAAAACACTGATAAAGCTTAAACAAACATTATTTCTGAATGTATGAAGAGCGGTTTTTGTTTTGTATTGTTGGAACATATTTTTAAGACAGGTAAAATCTATGTAAGAAATTAAAAGCGTAGAAAATCAAGAAAGTTTCTTGACTGTAAAAAAAAAAATCTTAGATTGATGGATAATCAATCAAAAGATAGTGAAAAACTTCTGAAATTAGCGGAGAAGCTTTCAATCGTGTTGGGAAAGCTTCCAAAATAGGAAAGGATTCCAAGAGTGGCGAAGCTTCCAAGGTTAGAGGAAAATATGCCAGTATTAGCAAAGCCTCCGCGTGAACGAGGAAAATTTCACAGTCGCAGTTTGCTAACGAATTTGATACACTGAAGTTAAAGGATGGAAATAAACAGACGGAAATCAAACTGAGCAAGAAATAAAAAAATATTAAACAGCGTAGAATAATGATATAACATTAATAAATATTACCATAGAATCACAAGACATACAAAGAGAATAAATGTAATTATGTATATGATCAGATGAACTATTAAATGCTTGAGAGGCCACCTAGAAGATGGGAAACTGCTGCCTCAGACGGGCTAATGGTCCAGGTCGGGGAGCCTTGGGACTAATAAGAAGAGCTGGGCGTTACCGACCCTGGGAGTTACTTACCCTGGGAGGTGGGGACGAGAAGCTGGGCCCCTTGGACCCCCTGGGTAACGTGGCCGGAGGTCAACACCATCTGGGGGACAGTCGGCGCGTTATTGGCCCCCGCGCTGTTGTTCATGCCGCCGGGGGGAGGTGGCGCTGCCGTCGCCGCCGTCGCTGCCGCCGCCGCCGCCGCCGCCGCCGCCGCAGCTGTGCCGGGGGAAGACATGATTGGTCACATGACCTGCACTTGTATGTAATACATGTAGTAAAATATATCTTCGTAATAAAGGCTTTAGGTGACATGTGGGAATGATGAAGGCTGAGTCACGAAGGCGCGGTTCTAAATACTTTCTTTTGTTGTGGAAGTCGGTGTGTAAAATACAATCACATACTAAATTTAATTAACCCTACGCACAAGAAAAAATGTCATAAACGAGTACTTTATAAAGCGAGGTAATGAAAGCAAAGACCCCAATTTTTTTTTATTGAAACTAGTGGACCAGAGAACACCCGGGTAATTAAACTATGGATACTATAAGAACGTCACTCAAATTGTGGTCCCAAGGAAATCACGACAACTATTGGCCAATAGAATTAAGGCTACGTTAAGTGCAGTCACTACAACATGAGGTCAAGAAGACGGTGCACCCCCGCAGATAAGGTCATGGCACTAAGGTCATAATTACTAAAGTCATGAAGAAAGCACATGGTCACACATTTCACTGCGCACGACGTAATTTATTGCCTGCGTCTATAAAAGAGATTCTCACAATGCAAGAACTAATTATTAT